GTCTTGGACTGGCTTCGTCCACAAGAGTGATTCTCATAGGCCGATTTTGTTGATCACCTTGCTTTCCAAGACGGGTAATTTGCCTCACTTTTACCGAGTTCTCACCAGCGTCGAGGAGTCTGTCAATTAGACTCTGTAAAATCTCGACATCGTGATCGTAGCGCATTTGGGGTGATGGATCACTGGACTCCGGCGCGTGGAAGATCACGAGTTTATAACGCCTCTGCTCGGACGAGATTGGCTTTGCTGGGCGAAGTATACTACCAGCCTCACGTGGTTTGGCTAACTGTTGACTTACAGAAGTTAAACGTCCAACATCCCTTCGTTCTTTCCACTGCTCTTTAGCACTCAGGATTTCACCTGCTGGGATATCAGTACCCGTTGGACACAACAAAGGTAAACAATTTATGCCAGGTGCAACTGGGCTTCTCACAACGGTTGGACTTCGTGCCAGTGAGTTTGCACGGGTAGAGGAGGAAGACGGAGCTGAAACCTTAAGGCTCTTCGGGCTAGGTTGTTGGGCCCAACACACGGAGCTGTTCGCAGCGGAATGATGAAGCCTATACGTCGACTTTACTCTTCCTGGCTTTATCTATTTCGACAATTTTCGCGTGAAGTTTGAACGAAATCGTGTTGGATCTCACGAAGACGATGAAAATGCCCAACTGATAATCCAACACATGAAATGTGGTATTTAACTTGGCACAAAACACAAGTGAGGGCATTTGCACGGTATCCGATTATCTTGGAACAAGTACCACAGGGTGACTGCTTCGGCATTGTGAATAATCCGAAAAGAAGATGGCGGCCAGTTGACGGAGAAAATGGCGATATCAAGGTCGCCGAAACGAAGCGATGGAATTACAAATATTTCTGGTCGGAAATGTCAGAATCAGAAATGAAACTGAATTGTATCTAAATTTTCACGAAATACTCCCGATGAACGAAGAAATCCAACGCAAAGTGATCTTGTCAACACAGCCAAAAATAACCGACCGGAGGTCGCTATCCGCAGTTCCGTCAGTTGTCTTCGTTAACACGGCTTACACCATCTCCATTACTTCTTAGGCCGAGAGAGATTAACTTAATGAGCGGGAGATGATCTGTTCTTCTATTCTTGCAAGTATATAAATAAGTATTATAGTTTTCGTCCCACCTGCTCACAAGCTACATAGCACAGCCTAGTCCGGAAAAGCAGCAGACGCATTTCGACCTATTGGGAGTCGGCAGTGGTGCGCATTCACTCGGTCCCCTACTGCGTATGAAACCCATGACTGCTAGAGGCAGATACAAACTAGCCAACAGGTTAAGCCACTGAGCCATTGGGGGCGTCGGCTTGACTACACGATTTGCAAGCTAACTGGGATATTGCACGACCTAACTTCCACTGACCCGCAGGCTACTACCTGATTACTGCGAATTAGTAATATAAAATGGAGCCTCTCCTAGTTTCAAATGCTATGGACGTAGCATCTAGTGAGAGGAAGTCATGACCTTCGGAGGTTAGCCACTGTCATCTGCTAAGATAGTAACCTGCGTGGCAGTGGAAGATAGGTCGTGCTATATCCCAGTTAGCTTGCAAATTGTGTAGCCCAGCCGACGTCCCCCATGGCTCAGTGGCTTAAGCTGCAGACTAATTAGTATCTGCCTCTAGCGGTCATGGGTTTCATGCGCAGTAGGGGACCGAGGGAATGCGCACCACTGACGAGTCCCAATAGGGCGAAACACTTCTGATGCTTTTCCGGACTAGGCTGTGCTATGTAGCTTGTGAGCAGCTGGGATGTAAACATTACAATTACAAAATCCTTCTACTCATTAGTAAATCTTTTATTTCTCAACGACGCGAGACTGTTTCCACATATGGAAAGATCAAGATATTTACAGCTTTTTTTCATTTAGTCCCCTCTACATATTAGATGGGAATATTCGTTATGTTACCGCCATGTCAGTTACTAATGCATGTGGTTCAGGATGAAGTGCGGAAGACTGTGCTGGGGTTATATCCTTCCTTAACCGATGTCCCGTCGCTCTGAACCAGCGCGTTCTGACCAGAAGGCGAAAATGTGAGTTTCGTAGATGAGCCATTCTTTCAAACTCTCGCTGATGCGCAATCCAACTTTATCGATCGATTAAAATACGTTCAGAAGTCCCCGTTCGTAGTGGACTCAGCGAGGCAATAAAATAAGAAATAGTATCTAGGTAGGTAAGAAACGGCTATAACAAAATTTGCAGCAAAAATAATTAAAGTGTAAATACCTGGCAAAGAATCATCCAAAAATAATGGCATCATTTTGCAAGGAATACATAAAATTTGGAAAGTTTTATTGTTATTTCCCTAGTAGGTGGTTTGGGACATCTAAAAATGCTGACCAATGCCGAAAACCTTGCCCTGTGAGAAAATTACTTCAGAATGAAACGAGGATTCTAATAGCAACAGACTGGCGCTAAGTACAATGGGAGTGATAGGTGCATCGTTTGGTAAATGACATTATTTCAGTGCGGCGCAGGTATAATAGGAAAAGCGACCTAAATAATGGCAACCTAATTTCTAAATTGTCAGACGAAGTCTAAAATGTGGGGTGTTGCACAATAATATATGTGATCATGAATTGTAGTGAAAAGCCTTATCGCCGCTATACTCCGGATTATTTCCTCATACAGTGAGGCTTGTGTGCTTCACCAGCCATCACCTCTGTGGTTATTCTGAACGATGTTAATTTTTATTACGTTAGGGTATAGTACGAACAAAAGTATGAGCGTGGAAGATCAGGTCTGAAAAAATAGGATCTGGGTGTCCACCCATCACTGCGCCTGAGATTTAACTTGCGCATAGTAAAAGAGAATTTCATGGAGATGGCCAAGGTAGAATGTAGTGGCGTTCTAAAATCCGAGATGACAGGGGCCACTCTAACACGCCGTTTAACTTTCGGGCCAGGTTAAATGCTTACGAAATGTTGAAGAGCAAGATCATAGTAATGTACAGAAAAGCATCTGGCTTCTCATTCTACCAATCTGACAGCGTTTACATTGACAGATGGCAAGCGTTCAAGTCTGCCAAAAGTTAAGAGATGGTGAGGGTCAAGATGAGGTGAAGTGGAGTGACAAAACCCTAGGTCACATTTGTTGTTTCATCAGAGGAATAGTTAACCAACTACCTGGAATATGGAGTACTGAGGTGAACTTTTTTTCAAACCAAGACAAGGCGAATGTGACCTGCTATCTGAATGAGCTGCGGTCCTACCATTGCGATGGTCTCCAAATTCATTCCCCGTTGGAACTGGTGAGTGCTGTCTTTTTATCCGACGTTCAGATGACGGATTTGTTGTTCTGCTACCCCTTATGCTGACAAGCTGTAACCAGTTGGACTGCTCATACTTTGGACTCCCTAACGCAGCTTCTGCATTTGGCCTGGAAGGATTGCTGCTTACGTCTTCTCTTTTATCGTAAAACTAATGTTAGTATACGTCTCACTCGGATCAGGGTACAAAGACCTACACGATTTCAGCGCGTGTCTAGCAGCTTCATTCGTGTTTTGCGTGGTACACCGTACGAGTACGGATGCAAAAGATTAACGCTGTACGCCATGTCCTATCGTTCGTTTAGAGTCGACTCATCGGATATTAGACTTGCGTGACTCTCATACAAAGGCCACCGGTACAACCTCATGGTTCCGAATCTAAGGCCTCACCCTCTATCTTCTGAGGATCGAATGTTGAAGTATTAAAACGGCCTTCCGGAGAATATAGTCAATGCTAAACTGCTGTCGGAATACCAGAGATACCCAAATACCCACTGCGAATTTTAGATTTGGAGGACGTATCGCACCTAGTTAGAACATCCTCGCGCGGGAGTTGATAACATTATTCCACCAGCGTGCCGGTGGAGCAATGCAGTTTCGGAGTTCTCGCATTCTGTTTACAGTGTTCGGTGTACTGTGTCTTCGTCCCGAATCACTGAAACTTAGCACCTGTTGTTCTTGTTACTAGGGCACACTCTGCCGTGTATAGTAGTGCATGTTAACAGTCCAGAAACATATACTTGAATTCAGTGATGGCAATAACTGATTCCCTATGCGACTTTTGCCTATGGACAACTCGTACAGTCATCTGTCTCCAGCTGTCACGCTACATAATTTATCGTATGATCGGCTGGATCGATTCACATAATTCCTCTTTTCTATATTCTTCCTTATTTCATAGTTGGCCACGACTGGACTGATCTCCTGTGGTGACGGATTACAGCTTCCAGATTATAAAAGACGTTACCTATGCAAGGCAAATTGCCACCAACTGACTGGCGTATAAAAAAGTGTCATAATAGAATGATCCGCATGACGGACTGGGCTGAGCCTTCATGGCCCATAATACATGTTCAAAAGCAGTTCTACAAAGAACAAAACATATGATATACAGGTGATGGCTCATATGCTACTATGCCACACCGGCACACGGCCAGTTATTGCATGGAAGTGCGAGCGAAACCTTTCGAGGGAATACCTTGCATGGAAGCAGGTCCCCTGGGGATGGTTCCACGAGTAGCCGTATTACTTTAACTGGACATCTGTTTAAATCTGCTTACGTTATTGTTCCTGGTTTTTAATTTCTTTAATGCCTTAATCCTGCCAATTAGTTTAGTACCTGTTTTGGATCCATTGTAAAAAGCGTGAACAAATTGATTATTTTTTTGCGATCCTGTTGTACACATTGATCAGACCACATAGTTGGACTGCACCTCGAAACACCGAGGAATATACCATTTATTTATTTATTGGAGGTCGAGAACACAATTTTGTTGGCGCTTATTTCCAAATGCACTTTCCCCTAGCGCTTTTACATTAGTTCACACTTAATAACCAATTAAGCGAAACCTCCTGCGGTTGCACTTACATTCTGTTCACGAATTGAAAGAGTATCCACGCACTTGTGTCAGTGGCCACTAAAATTGATGACCTCTCCTCTTTCCTACCCTGTCTTCGCTGAACCGCACGTATCCTTCTTTAGTGATGCGCCTTACGTTGTGGCTCCAATTCTGCTGGCGCTTAGCACGAAGACATCTTCTACCGATGGACTGAGAAATGATTGTAACGCCATTGTCAACGAGTATAAGCAAGCAATCAATGAGATATCTTCGGTTGAGATGAAGTAGGTCCCCCACTCGTGTCACTAAAAGTTACTTCGTCGTTTTTATCACTTCTGTGCCTTGGTGGCTATGCGCAGAATGCCTACTTTAATATGCTCTTTCTATTCTATTTACCAACAACATAACGATTGACTACACAGGTTTCTTTGCCTATTTTCTTCCAGGCTACAGCTGAAAGAGGACTGCAGAACCATTGCACAAAACTACAAGTCTATTCCTGATTTGCATAAATTCTTTGGTATATAAACTATGAGGTGCATTCCCTTTTCAGGTTTTTTTTCCATTTAGACTGCCTTTACGCCAGTTCAGTACATTTGGGTGCACTAGGTACCGTATTATTCCAGCGCACGCTCTCTCTAAATGAATTGGCCCATTAATTTGCATATCCATCGCCGGAATAACCTACTTATGGACCGTGTTTACAGGATTGCAATTAGGATTTGTTTACTTGAAGGCATCAAGACTTGGCTCATTCGATCCGAAGTTCCTAGCTGTCTTCAACACCATTGCCTGTGGAGCGTCGCTTGTGATAATTGCCTCTAATTTGTCTGCCACAATGAAGTGCGCAGTCGGGAGTTAGTCAGTGATGGTGTTATTGGTTCGTCAGCTCAACAAATAAGGCTGGATTAATTGTGCCGACATGAACATCTAATATCCACTTGCGCCCAAGGTTTGTCGAGAGGTCATCGTTTTGCTTCTTGGACCTGGGTCTAGGGGGAACAATTGCCTACCTAGCAGCGGGAAATGAAGTCACTTATGATACTCCATGACCCTACAAGCTTTGGTCAACGCAAACCACGTTGTGCTTTACCTGAGTTCATACGTGCTAATGTAGTACTTGCCGCTACTTTCCAGTACTTTTAAGGTGTAACTGATGCCGCGTGATCTGTGCAGTAAGCTTGATTATAACGCAGGACAGTGAAAACCGGAGGAACTCTATCCTCTTGATACCATCCTTTCCTCTTATAGTGTCCAGCTGTTGGTGAACGCGTGGTATTTGTGAGGTGCAGGCAACTTGGTCATAATTTCTGCTTATGGGATTCTGGCTTTACTCTTGGTCCTTTTCTCTTATGGTTGTGTGAAGAAAAGTCAATAGTAATTACTTATTTACTTTTGCCCCATCGCGACCAGACTGGATTGGTGCGACAGCCTGTGTAGCTCTTCGATACGCTGAGGTATATTGGATTGTGCCCAGAGCCCCTTGAGGGCTACTCCTACAAGCATGGTCAAAGGTTAGAGGTCCGAGAAAATCCGTTTTCTGTCCTCTACTATGCGGTTGGGAATGAAATGGTATCCATTTCTGTAAAACCGCATCGCTGCATTACTGACAGTCCTCCGAACCAAAAGGTTTGCTTGAGGACACTGATCATACTCCTGTCTAGGTTGGGGCGCCCACATACAACCATGACTATTTCCTCAAACTTCAGCCACATTCTGCATCAGCCGTCGTGCAGCTTTACAAGGGTTGCCTTAGCTGGTGCATACAGCAGCATACGCAGCGTTACCAGTTCGACATCGCTATTGTTACAGGGGATGCGAATGCTCAGGTACATCGTCTGGGCTCTTCAGAAATTCAACTAGGTGGCATGTATGGGCTTAACTTTGAACGGATGGCCAGCGGCTTTTGTCGCAGCTGTGCACAGAGCACCTGCTGTCTCTTAGCAGTAACGCTTTTATGCAAAGAGCGCACTTCTACCACTTAGTCTCCCTCTACAGCTGGCCAGTGATCGACCCAAAACATCGCGTTTGCATAAGTTACACGTAGCGTATTCCATCCTAGATCGTCGCTCATTCTGCAACACCTGCATCGACTCTGTTCATGCCTTGGCACGCTGTCGTTTTTCCATGAATTTTACCAGGAGGTGTACCGTGTCTCCCTCGATTAGCAACCGAGAAGATATCGCCTTCTTCGGTCAGGTAGGCCTACAAGGATGTCCTGTGTACCGAACTATCACCCTCTCATCTTAAAGACATCGAACTTCGTTGGAATGATATTTCCCTCGCTATGCATAACACGGGAGCCTCTGCATGTGGCACTATCAGTCGTCGTCGCTTTAGTCATTGCATATCCGAGAGGTCGATGAACATGCTGGGATCCAGAAGAATGCTCTCTGCTGGCTCTGAGCACATTGTAACCTGACGGACTTTTAAACACGAATTAAAACGGGGCATATGTGTAGACAAGTTGGTCTGGTAAACCGGTATGCCTCAAGAAATGGCGAAGTCGGTAGCAGTAGGCAATTATCACAAACTTCTCCAACTGCTTTGCACCACTAGCTCCAGGAACTTATTCGTCAGTGGGACAATCAGAGACAGCACAGGTGCCATAATTCAGGGTAAGTTGCGTCTTCTAGCTTCTTTAGCGGAGAATGTTTGATAACAACTTGCTTGATGTTGTCCCCAGGGTTCGACTTAGCAGCTTCTTAGTTTGCGCCACGCGAGTCAAAAGACAACGCACCGGACAGGAAGTATATTTGCGAAACACTGCACGGGCCGACGTGGGTATGAAAAACACTCTGATTACAGTTCAAATCACGGCTGAGTGCTAATTTGAATTTATCGATCTCAGTGAATCACGGGACATGTGAGTGGTATGAAACAAGCGATTGTGACAAATGTTCTGCCACACAGAAAAACTCTAGTCTGATTGTAACTGAGACTGTTCTGATACAAGGCACAAGGTTACTTGGGGAAATTGCGCACTTACCTTCCCGAACAAGTAAATTTGTTTCGTTTCTGTGCGCATTTGACTTTGGTCTGACCTAACACCTCCCCTTTGTTGAAATAGTTAGACCGGTAGTTGTATAGCTTTTCCTTCGGGGATCGACCTGAAAGGGTTGCACGCATCTTCTTACCCGTTGAGGCCTTAGTCGGTGTTCATTTCCAGTCCGTTCCACGAGTTGCGTATCCTGTCCGGTCGAGGTGCTTGCGTGCAAAGTGCATAACAATTCATTGAAATCAAATCCTTTGTGGTCGCGTGTCTCTGGATCCTTGCAAACCGCGGTCGTAGTTGGTTGGCGTGACGAACCCATACTTGCCTACCAACGCGAACATCGTACATTACTTTGCCACGTCGTCCCACGACTTGACCTGGTATCCAGCTTATTCGATGCCCTCGATGAGAGGCAGCAAACACTGCGTTTCCAACTCTGAACTTTCTGCGCCGTGCTCGGTACCGTCTGTTGTAATGGGCTTCCATATCCGAATTCGTACGAGGTGATGCATACGGGACCGGGCGCCTGAGTCGAAACACTGGTGTAGCACAAGGTAACATCTTGTTCGCCTGAAACTGTTCAGCAATGGTTTTACTTGGAATAGGTGGTATGGCTGTATGATTTACCATGACGTTCGTTTCAGAACATACATTATTCAGTGGTACATTGAGCAAATTCAATCTATCAATCCAATCCATGCCAAGAAGATTAATGTTGACACAAGAAGCTAAGTAGATGGTTCCACGGAAGCTCAGATCTTTGAATTTAATGTCACACGTGAACTCACCATCTAAACTCAATGGTTCGCCGGATGCATTTCGGGCAATCAGATTGGTGCGCCTCAGTGGAGGTTTGCCGAGTCTCTTCTATGATGATCGAGAAAGGATGGTAATGTCCAATGTCGTATCTATTTGCAAGCATATGAGAACATCGTTAATTTTGACGGTGATGTACTTTCGTTTGTCCGCAAATTCTGTGTGACAGGTCGCGAGAACTACTTTTGTCTTTGCTCCCTGAAACGACGTCTTTCGGGATTTAGAGTTCGTGTATAAGTGTGGGGTAGACACAGGCCTGGAAACGTACGTTTTGCGACAGTGGGATTCTTTGTGACCCAGACGTTTGCATTTCTGACAGAGATGTTTCTTGTAAGTACAGAATCGCACAAAATGCCATCCACCACAGTTCCAGCATGCGGTCGGGGGTTTCTGGTTAGGTACTCTATGCCTCACATTTTTACCTCGAACAGCTGTACGGTAAATCTGTGGTTCACTCCTGGGGTCAGCATTTTCAATCATTTTGGTATCATGCTTTAAGTTAATCAGTCTCTGGCATTCAGCAGCAATGTCCTGTAATGTCAAATGGGGTTCCTGCTCTAACTTGTGTAGGATGCGTGTGCGCACATCAGCATCGGCATGAGATTGAAGACTGCAAACAAATATGAGACTTTTGAACTGATCAGGTGTCATCGTACCGAGTTTAAAACGTTCACACTCTCGGTTCACAACTCCAGCATGTGTTATAAAATCATGGCTATCACGTTTGAGCAACTTTAAACAATTATAACGGATACTGAACAAAGATGCTTGCTCACCGAAAATGGACGTCAGAATTTGCACAGTCTCATCGAAGCAGAAATCTCTTGGATTCTTTGGCAACACAAAATTGGTATAGCGTTCATGCTCAACTGCACCAAGTTTACGCAGCAACAACCGAACTTTCCATGCATCATCTTGCGCCGCCAACTCAACCCGGAAAATATCTTCATATTTCTTGAACCAGGAATCAAAAGTTACTCCGTTTGATTCATCGAAAACGAACTCTGTGATTGCTGTCGTGACCGCGTCTACTGAAGACCGTGTGCCAGCAGCTTGGGGCTCAGATTGAACGTTCAACTTCTGCGCAAATAACTCGAACAATTGCCTCTGGGATTTCTCGAACTGGAGCTGCTGTTGGTGGAGAAGCTGCTGCATCTGCTCAAATGAAATGGACATTTTTGTGCAACACCTCTGTCGCCAGAATCTGTTGTGTCCCCAGGGTTCGACTTAGCAGCTTCTTAGTTTGCGCCACGCGAGTCAAAAGACAACGCACCGGACAGGAAGTATATTTGCGAAACACTGCACGGGCCGACGTGGGTATGAAAAACACTCTGATTACAGTTCAAATCACGGCTGAGTGCTAATTTGAATTTATCGATCTCAATGAATCACGGGACATGTGAGTGGTATGAAACAAGCGATTGTGACAAATGTTCTGCCACACAGAAAAACTCTAGTCTGCTTGTAACTGAGAATGTTCTGATACAAGGCACACGGTTACTTGGGGAAATTGCGCACTTACCTTCCCGAACAAGTAAATTTGTTTCGTTTCTGTGCGCATTTGACTTTGGTCTGACCTAACACTTGGGCCCCTTTCTGCTGGTTCTCTTCCCTGCTCAGGTGGTGCAGGCTAATCCATGGCTGGTTAGTTTAGACAATCCATCGGAGGCCGAGGTCTGAGATTCTATTGACTATGTCTTTGCACCCGCACTATGTTTGGTGGTGGCGTCGTC